GTCTGATCCCATTCTGGTCCCAGTCTGATCCCATTCTGGTCCCAGTCTGATCTCATTCTGGTCCCAGTCTCTGCTGACTCGGCAGTTTCGGGTCTTTAAATGTTTAAACTGTCTTTTTCCAGATTGATCCAGAACCGGTTCTGGACCTGCAGGTGACGGCGTCGGGTCGTGGACTCGCTCTGCTCCAGGTACCTGCTTGCCTCCATGGTAACCATGGTAACGGCGCCCCCTGCTGCTTCTTCCTCACCTTCGTCTCTTTTTCAGCTCAACGTGTTTTACAACATCCGCAGCGAGGAGCTGCTGAGGAGGAGGGGCGCCGAAGAACAGGAAGCGTTTTACCTGAAGGTGGCGCTGTTTGAGGAGCAGAACGAGGCCCACCTGTTCGTCTGCACCAGGTCAGGAGGTCACATGACCCACCTGCTGTCACTGTGGACTGATTCTGTTCCTGACATCATTTATTTCTCTGACTGTAAAGAGTCAAATCATGAAGAAAATCAGGAGATTTTTAATTTTCTAAATTAAAAAAATAAATAAAATAAAGCTGAAAACATATAAATTTCCAGAAAGATTTAATTTTTTTAGTTATTTGTGTAAGTTTATATTTATTCAGTTGTTATTTACTTGTTTTATTTTAAATATTCATTTAAAATAAAACACATAATAATCATCTTTTTTTCTGTTTTGTAAAAATGTAAATTTCCTGAAATATTTTTGGAAATTTTAGACATTTCATTTTTGTGTGAATGTTTTTTATTATCTATTTAAAATGTAGATTATTATTTTCTACTTTTCATAAATTCAGATTAATTAAATTTAAATTTTGTTTTTTAAACAGATAAATAAAATTTTGACAGACTCAGAATGTTTCTGCTGCTTTGTGGCCCGGTTTGTTCGGGTTCTAACTGGTTCTGGTTCTGCGGCCCTCAGCCTGGCCCGCCACTTGGGCCTGAATGAGACCGGGATGGTTCTGATGGAGGTGGGTCTGCTGAGCGGCTTCAGCGCCCAACCGGACCTGGTACCGCTGGGTGGCGCCGTGAAGCGAGTGGAGACCGAGCCGGGGAGGGCGGTTCTGTACCTGGACTCTGTGAGCTGACACCTGATCCGGCTGGCCAGTTCTGTCTGGTTCTGTTTGGGCTCCAGAACCAACCGCGGTTCTGTCTGGTTCTGGTTCTGCAGGTGTCGACCCAGGAATCGTGTCTGCTCGTCCCGCTGCTGGTGGAGTTCAAGGTGGCCCGGGTCCAGGAAGCCTCGGTCAGCGTTTATGACTACTACGAGCCACGTAAGGTTCTGCTGAAGAGCCGGGCTTGGACCCGAAAGTGGACTACCAAAATAAAAGCTGGGTCTTCTGAGCTCCTGCTTCTCGAATTGCTTGGTGTTGCTTCAACATTTCAGCCTGAAGCAAAGATGAGCCATTTTAAATCCAGACATTTAGCAGCAGAGACCATCAGCCTCCACAGCAGTTTATATAGAATATCAACACCCAGCTTTTATTTTGATAGTCCACTTCCATATTTGCATATTAGCTTAATGTTTAGCGCAGAGATAACTAAATAGTTAGCACTCAACTAGAAAAGTATTTAGCTAGATACTTAGCTAGCTGAGTGCTAAATATTTAGCTAGCTGCCAGCTAGCTAACACTTTTTAGCTAGGTCAATATTTAGCTGGTAAATATTTAGTTTCAAACTATGATATCTATAAATGAATGAATGATATGGTGAAAATCTGCGTTAAATAACTAATAATTATTTCTGTATAATTTTCCTCTGGGGTGTACTAATTTATGCATCACCAGAAATGTTAGTTTTATTGGCATTATACTGAAAATTTTAAAATATTTATTATTTTACTTGACGTTCACAATATTGTTAAAATATAAAAAATATTCACACATCTAAAGATTTTCATGGGGTGTACTAACTTTCTCTCAGGAATCCCAGATTTTCTTCTGCATCCATTTCTGCCGATTTAAAGACAAACTGCAAACTACTGAATATTAATGAGTTTCACTTTAAATCTGAATAATTAGCTACTTTAAGTGATAATAAACTGAATTGATCTGAAGAGTGAAGTGCAGACAGTGGAGCTGATTCTGGGCTCTGGCGCCCCCTGCAGGCCGCAGGACGGTGCGGTCGTACCGGTCGTCTTTGCGGAGCGACGTCTCCTCCTGCTCCTTCTGCGGAGAGGACTGCAGCCGGTGCCGAGCGAACAACGACTCCGAGCTGGACGCCGCGTCGCGCTGCAGCCGCCACTTCCTGCTGCGCCACTTCCTGCCCGCGCTGCTGCTCCTCTTCGTCATCTTCAGCGCCTGAAGGCAGCAGCCAGCTGGCCTTCCGTCCTGCAGCGGGTTAAATAATAAAACATGTGAGAGATTCTGAGTTGTGGCTGAATTTCTTCCTCTGGCTTCTTCGGGTTTTCAGGAATAAATCTAGAATAAAGTTTGTGCTCAATCTGAAGCAGATCTGGATCAGAGGAATCGGCGGACATGTTTGCACCTTCAGGTCGTTAGTGGTGTTTGTGGCTCAGAGCTGAACGGCCTAATTAAAGCAGACAAACAGGAGGTTAAGGATGAGCTTTCAGCTCATACAAGTCACTGAATCTTTGGCTAAAAGCAGAAAATGATTTTAATATTTCATGTATTCATCAGGAGGCCTGGCCACATCGACCAGAACCTCCAGGAATAGCTAAGTGGTTAGCTTCAGGATTAGCGGTTAGCTTCAGGATTAGCGGTTAGCTATTTTAGCTTTTATTAATGCGTCCCCCAGCTGGCAAGTGAAGTTACTGCAGAACCTCTGAAGGTTCGGTCCAAAACATTGAAGCTCAAAACGTCTCAAACAGCCGAAAACGAAACAAATGAGAAGTTTTAACAAAAACTCATATTAATCTGTCAAACTCAGATGAATAAAAATAGAATATTTTTATTGAACTTATTTGAAATTTTAATATTTTGTCCATCCACGTGTTAAACACTTAAAGGTCAGGGGTTGAAAACTTTATCAGGTTGTTTCTAAACCGGATCTGTTTGTCTCATGATGACCTGAATGGAGGTCCAGGTGAGTCCAAGCACAGGTTCATCGCCATGGCAACGCCATTTCATCAGAACAGCTGCAGGTTCTTTAACAACGACCTTCTTGATCTGGCCTCTAATAACAGCAGGAATATGTGTTTAATTTTAATCCGGTGTTTTATTTTTATTTTCTCTCTAAGTTCTCAGCTCCGCCGGTAGGGGGCAGTCTTGCTTCACAGATGGACCTTCATCATCATCATCCCCCTGGTTGTTAAACCCGGTGCAGACACCTCAATAATATTCAACATGAAGTTTAATTAAAATAAAAACTGATCAATCAGCTGATCCAGTTATCAATCAATGCATTAAGATCAATGGATGAGTTTCTCTGATGTTTTGGGTCGTTAGCTGTTAGCATGGGATTCATTATTTAGTCATAAATGCTGCAGTTTCAAACTAAATATTATATTAGGAAGCTAAATGTTTACTTTGGATAGCGTAGATCTTATAATTATTTTAAAACTAAATCTGTTTAGTTTGAAGCTAAAGCACAACTATAAAAACACTGAGATTTATGAATGAATGAATAATGTTGTAAACTATGACTAAAACATTAATGTCCATCATAACACACTAAATACTCCAAAATATTTCTGTTAGTTTTTCACTCTAAAAATACATTCAGTCACATTAAATGATCCATGTTCAGTTTTTACGTCTTTGCAAGAGAATAGTTTTATTTTTCACTTGAAAACTTCCTGGATTTATTACAGGTTCATGATTCAGTGAGTTTCTGTTATTGCAGCAGATGCTCAGGTTTATGTTGTCATAAACAGTCCCACAGCATAATGCTGCCGCTAACAGAACCTCAGCTGGTCCTGCTAAGGAGTCAACAGAAACCTGATGCTAGCTGTTGCTCGGCCCGTTATTTTTACATTAAAAATAATTTAATATAATCAGTAGAATGTTTTACCTCAGCCTGGAAAAATCCAAGGAAAAGAAAAATAAAATAGAAAAACATTTGTATTCCATGTTAAGGTAGAACTGGAAGCAGGATGCATTATGGGAAGCAGACTTCCCAGATCTTCTTCAAAATTCACATTTTATTTCAAATCAACAGATTCAAAACTGGAAATAGATAAAATGATCAAAATGAACCAAAATCTGCAGAATATTTATTCTCTAAACTACAATTATTAAACTAGCTAAAATAAATAAACCGCAAACTGGAGAGAAAGATTTACATGTTGTTATGATGCGTAATCATCACAACCAGGTGAAGCTCAAATGACACCTGACCTTTGACCCCAGAGGAGTTGAACAGAGACAGAAGGAAGTTAAAGTTGTTTTCCATCCTGACAGCAGAAGGAAAACAAAATGGCTGAACTTCAAACCCGCTCCGAGTTTCACATGATTCTGGTATCATCCCAGA